GAACACGGCACCCCCTGCTACCATAACACGGTAAAACAAGTCTGAGGGAGGAAGCTCCTTAACGCAAGTTCCTTCACTGGTCGTCCCACGGTCTCCCACGGTCCCAGCGGCACCCCTGTCCTCACCCCCGGTGTGTTCACTGTGGCACCAACAGGAGTGGTTTAAAGCAGGTCATTCTTCTGCACCTCACTCCTGGTAGCACACCTCCTCTACGGCTAATCTTAGTCCTCTCGTCTGGGATTCTCCACTTGGAGCCGTAAGATTCCATCTCGAGCTAATTCTCCCCTTGCCCCTCTTTAAGTAATCTGTTGTGAAAGCAGCAAGCCTTTTCCTCCCACAGGCATGGGTGTCAGCAACTACACGCAAGCTAGAACAGCGAAGGGTCAGATCCAGTGCTGGACTGGCTCTGGCTTCGGGCTGTAGTTTCCCACACCCTGTTGCAGAAGATCAAGAGCCAGAGGGGTTTTTGTTTTATTTTTTTAAAAGATTTTATTTATTTATTTGACAGAGAGAGAGAGTGCGCACAAGCAGGGGGAGAGGGAGAAGCCGGCTTCCCGCTGAGCAGGGAGCCTGATGCAGGGCTTGATCCCAGGACCCTGGGATCATGACCTGAGCCGAAGGTGGATGCTTAACTGACTGAGCCACCCAGGCGCCCCAGAGGGGTTTTTAAAGCAACCAACTAGAAGAAACATCAGTTGGGCAGCACAGAAGAGGGCAGACTTAGAGACAGAAGCCCCCACTCACTCAGCAGCATTTCAGGGCCTAGCAGGTGCCAGGTGCTGGTCCAGGTTTGGGTGACACTTCCTGTGCTTGAGGGGCATCCAGGCTGGGGGCATGGGGGGGGACAGGCCAGCAGTGCTGGGAGCCAGGGCCGTAGTGGGGACGCACACAGTAGGCTCCACAAAGTGGGTATCACAGTGAGGGACGAATTCCTGGACAAGGTGACAGAAACAGGCGCAACCCGAGGGCAGGCAGGGCAGCACGTGCAAAGGTGGCAGAGCAGAAATGCAGCAGCGTCTGTTGAACGGCATGGCCAGGGCACCGTGAGTCAGACAGCAGGAAGAGACGGGCTGGATGGTGTGGACGTGCCTCACCCTGAGCCTTCACAGAGTCGGGGGTCCCGCTCCTTTTCAAGGGACTCGTGCACAGCACACACAGGACCAGGTGACAGGTCTGCAGCCACGACCCACGGAGCCCACCAGTCCATGCCGTGCTGCCATGGAAGCTGCACCTGCACGCCCAGGGACCCCGTCTCGATGGGGGGATTCGGGCGGAGGGAGACCCGTATCGATGATTATAAACAGTAACACAGTCACACTTCCCACGTCCACAAATTCTCAAGTTAGAACTTCCATCTTGAAAAAAAAAAAATGACAAGAGTCCCAGGGGAACTGATGCCTTTCGTGGTAACAACTGTCCTCATAACTTATGAGTTCACATCTATCTGCACACATGAGAGGGTACAAGTGGGGGAGGGCAGGGCAAGAAGCACCCAGATCACAGCGTCTCCACCTGCAAACACCCAGACAGGATGACACACAGCAAGAAGGCTAGGAAGCTTCCCTCAAGCCTGGGACTTTCTTGGCTGTTCTTCTAGTCCACATTTCATTTCAATGCAGCAGTATTTAGAAATGTTAATTAGCAACTCTATAAATGATACCATGAGCTCTCCAGAGGAAAGGTCATCCAATTAAGTAAAATATCTATAATTAGAAGCGCCTGGGTGGCTTGGCTGGTTAAGTGACCGATTTTGATCTCAGCTCAGCTCTCAAGCAGGGTCGTGAGTTCAAGCCCTGAACTTAAATAAATTAAAAAATTAAAAGTAAAAGGCAAAAGATTTATGCGATCTATTAAAATGAAAACAAACTACCTCAAAAGTGTGCCCTCCCAGTTGTACAAATGAGAAAATGGAGGCCCAGGAAGAATGCCATCATTGATGTGAGGTTACAGCCATCAGAGGGAAGAACTCTTTAGACCTTCTGACCTTTGACCTTTTCTCCCAAGACTCCAATTAACCAAATACCACTACACACAGACCTCTAAGGAGATGGCTCTTTGTTCAACAGTCGATGTCCCAAGCTCCTCTCTTTTTAAACTCAAGTGTCTTTAGATCACCATCTGACATGACCTCCAAAAACCAGCAAGCTCCTTCCCTCCAGAGCTTCAGAAGGGAAGATAGGCATTGACCAACTAAAGACGTAGGATTCTTCCACTGCGGTCGTGAGCAGCGCATGAAGGAAGAGAACAGAGCAGGAGAACCTGGTCGTGCTGGGACTTGTCAAAGGCTGCCAAGAGGGAATCCAGACCTAGAGGAGTCACATGGTGACCGGGAACAGGGGGTGGGGGAAAGGAGACAGTACGTCCTGCCACAGGACGGGGGATGCATATTTAAGAGATGAAGCAGGTGAAGGTGTGAGCAGCTCAGGGCAAAGATGTGGGCCCCAGTCTCCAGGACTCACACATGTGAGACCACACACAGTTAAACGTGAGCCGTGTGGGGAAAGTGGCACCAAGAGAAAGAGCAGAACCATGACAAAAGGGGAGAGGGACATGTGCCATGGATCAGGAGGCACTCAGAACTCGAAGCCCAGTGGGCAGAGTCCACTCAGACTGGACACTGCGCCCGGCACGCTGCGTCATCACAGCTGCTCGGTGGTGGGGTTGAGGAGAGCTAGTCACCCATCAAAAAGCAAAAATTCAATTCATCAAACAACAGACAGACTCATGCCCATGTCCCCACTAGACACCAGAGCCAGCCAGTTCTGGGAACTCCGCCTTCGTCCGCCCTCGAGCTTCAGAGAAACCCAAGGTGCAAACCATTCATCTAGCCAGCTGCCATGCTGGTCTTGCTGCTCAGCGGCCAAACTCTGCAGGCAGCATGAAGATGGTCACAATTCAGATGGAGCACCAAAGGCCACGGAAACCAAGTGGGCACAGAGAAGCAGTGGTCCCGCCATCCGCAGGGGCCTCCATGCGAGCACTGATGTGCCTGCGCCCCCTGGATCGCTCCACGCCCAGACGGATACAAACAAGCCCCGGAAGGAGTAAGTGCTACAAGGTCACTAGCGGCCAGGAGCTGCAGGAGCTCCTCACCCAGAGATGGCTGTGGAAGCCACCTGGGGAAAACAGCCATCCCCGAGTCCCAGCAGGTGGCACTGGGGACAGAGGCCTCCCGAGAGAAGAGAACAGCGCGTGACGGGCATTCGTGGTACGCGTGACCTGAAGTGCATGCAGCCTGCCCGGATGAAGCTCAAGGACACACAGGATGTGGAGAAGGAGCCCACTCAAGAGGAATCTCGCCCAATCCTGCAACGTGCCCCCGAACTTCAGGAACCAGGGTCCCCCACAGTCTCTGCCTAAAACACGATGTAGAATAGCTTCCTCTCCTGTTTCAGGAAAGCCCAGGAGTCCAACGGGCCGTTTCCCTGGCTTTGTGAAGGCGATCACACACCGACTTCAGTCCTTCGGTTTTGAAGCTGACCGTTACTGAGTTTTGGTGTTATTGGAATTCATGTATTTAAGCCTCACCCCCACGCGAGGAGAGACATGGCACCCTTCCAGCCTGCAGCCCGGGTCCTGCAGCCCGGGACACTGCCACAGGGGACAGTCGGGGACCAGCCACAGGCAGAAGGAGAGCAGCACGCACTGATTCCGCAGCTGAGAGGACGAGGAGGCACACCTGGCCGGCGCCGGGCGCGGGCAGAAGGAGCGCAGTGGCTGAGCTGAGGCAGGTTCCCGCTGGGACAGCTGGAGTGAGGGGCAGCTCTGGGGCAGACGGTGACGCACCACCAGGCTCGGACGGACGGATCCCCCAGGCGACAGGAGCGCTGCCCTCGCCACAGACTGTTCTCAGCTGGAGAGAGCCGCCTCGTCCCAGACCATGCCCCCTTCCTGGGAGCAGTGCACACCCAGCAGCTGGGGTGCGAGTGTTAGGCCGAGGCCCTCACCACACAGCAAGGTATCTCTCTGAAGGGCCACGTCAGCTTCAGAGACCGCTGGGGCAGCTGCAGTCTCTCCAAAAACTGCCTCACTGCACGACCGGTCACCGAGCCTGGCTTGGCGACAGTGCAGGCCGGCCCTGCGGGGCCTCTGCCCAGTCTGGCCTCCTTCTCATCCCTTCAGTCGCCACTGATCCCAGGAGCACTTCCTAATAAATGCCCCACGCATTCATCTCCAGGGCAGAGAGTGCGTCCCACGGAACCCAGCGGGCAGCACGCACTGCCTGGCTGGGCGGCCCCGGCGCAGAGGGAGGTGTGATGGGGAAGCCGCAGAGTTCCACTGTGCATGGGCTCACTTTCTAGTGCCTGTGGGACATGCAAAGGCAGACGTCCTGCAAGTGGCAAAATAAACATGTCTGGGGCCCAGCGTGGAATCTGGGCTGGAAACAAACAGGTCATGACTGAAACCCAAAAAGCAGACGCCACCCAGTGACAGTAAGAGCAGATGCCGGACAGGAGAGCCCAGGAGAGAGTCGCCTGATGCGCGGGCAGAGATACCACACGCTGCCATCGGCGCAAACACAGGCAAGCTGCATCTCTGGTGGTAAAAGTAAGAAGCTGCTCTTGCGGGGAGTGTACCTGGGGGGCACACCGGGGTCCTCGGGGTTCTGGGTACATTTCCCATCTGGCTGCCACTTACAGAAGCGGTCACTTGGTGAAAATTCACTGAATGAATGGTGCACCGCTCTGTACAAATGTTACACTTGCACATTTCTGTTGTATACAATGTAGGCAAAGGGAAGGGGAGCCGGTGCAGGAGGCCGAGAGACAGAAGCAGCAGAGGGGCCAGAGGGGGCCCGGGGAGGAGAGGGGAGAAGGCATGGTGGACAGCGGCATCAGGCCCCCCGGGAGGACAGCAAGGGCAGCACGGGGAGCTGAGGACACGGTGGAGCACGGCGTCTCCTAACCAGTGGAGGACCGGGAAGCGCCACCCACCTGAACCTAAGCTCACGTCTATGCGGGCCAGCGTGAAGGGTGCTCTCGTTCACTGAATTTGCTCACCTTGATCTGACAAAAAGTCCAGCATGGTCTGCAACAGGAAGGACAAGTGCCTGACAGAAAGAGCAGGATTCCCCATTCTTCGGGACGCGTAGACCAGTTCGTGAAGCAAGCGCATCTGGACTGCAGCCCAGCCTCGGTGCGTACCTGTGATGGAAGTCACAAAGTGTCCTCAAAGGGCTCTACGAGGGCGCGCGGGCAACAGAACCAGACGCGAGACTTCCTCGGAAATACGTTTAATGGTATGTGTAAAACTTGTGATTTAAAGACAGATGCCTCAATGACCAAACCCAAAGGGCAAGAAAAAACACTTCCTGTGTTTAACTTTCTCCAGAAAGAACTCGTAAGTGATGGGTTTTTTTCATACCATGAAAAGATATGTCTTATGGAATACTTTTTCTCTTCTGCAAAGACACAATTTAAAAATAACCACTTTGAGATCATTATAGTAAGGTTATAACAAAAGACTGTTTCCAATGGCATGTATTTGAGTTACAGATATACAATTTTTTTTCAAAAAAATACTGGTATGTGATGGGCCTTCATTAGCAACAACCAAGGACACTAGAAAAATGTGCTTTTTTAATTTAACATATAAGAAAAACTCATAAAAGCAGATAGCTAAATTAGAAAAACGGTTAACAACAGACTTTTGTGGCTGCTCCCTCCAAACAAATTAGCGTGGTTGAAATTTAAGGTGGGGGGTCGGTTGCACAGCCAGTGAAAAGTACCTCTTTAAGACCACAGAATCTAGGGGCACCTGGGGGGCTCAGTCAGTGAAGCGACTGCCTTCAGCTCGGGTCGTGATCCTCAGGTCCTGGGATCGAGCCCCGCTGAGCAGGGAGCCTGCCTCTCCCTCTGCCTATTCCCTACTTGTGCTCCTTCTTAAATAAAAAAATGAAATCTTTAAAACATAAAGACAACAGACTCTTCGAGTTATTATTCCACCTCCCTTCTGGCAACAATTACTACTTTTAAATATTCTCTACCTTGAAATCCTTCATGAAGGAGACCCCCATAAGAGGATTCTAACACAAACAGGTTACAGCACAGTACTGTGTCTGGGGCCCTGGGGGCTGGGCAGAAAGACGAAGACTCCAACCAGGGGCTCCTCCTGCCCCAGCCCTACGGAACTCCTCTCCCACTGCCCTGCGCCACACGGCTGGCCAGCTCTTTTGTGTACTTCTGCTGCATCGTGCACAAAATCCGACCCACAGGCCTTATCCGGCAGGTACAGTGAGGCATGTGCAAGCTCGTGTATTTATTCCTTCCACAATCCTCAATTTCCCTCGGAGCCAGGATTGTGTCTTATGCACCCAAGTATCCTTAACACCTAGCAGGATGCCCAGCACACAACTGCATGTTCACAGGCATGTGGGTCAAGTTGAAAGCCTGATGAAACACAATGCCCCTATTTTTCAGACATCCAACTGAAGTATGTAGGGTAAAATGACATGATTTCTGGGGTCTGCCCTAAGATAATTCAACAAAGAACAAATAAAAGGAAAAAAGGTAAAAATAAAGCCCATGTGGCAAAGTCTTGATAATCACTTACTCTGGGTGATGATGGACTCATTGTACTATTCTCTTTAATTTGTATGTATTTAAATTACTTCAGAGTAACTTTTTAAATTTAAATTCTTGGAAGTGACCAAACCTACACACACACACCCCCCAAAACTACCTTGTATCCTAGAGCCTATCTTACAAAAACCTTTTGGAACGTAAAGCTGCGGCACCTATCATATGACAGGGAAGGACAGAAAGACAAGTCCCTGCAGTATTTTCATCTTCTAAACAAGCTAAGACCAAATGCCAAAACGAAGTAAGAGATTTTTAAAAGCATTAAGAAGCTGGAATCAACTTCATGACTAACCAAGCCATGAATTCTAAATAACCCAATTTAACTAATCTCAACCCTACGGTATCAAGAAGGTTTTCTCACCTTAAAATTGGGCAAAGATCACCATGTTGATTTTTTTTTTTTTAAATACATGATGATACAGTTCCTACCACAGGCAACTGTAAGAATAAATATAAGTTTTCTTAATGCTAGTGTACAAGTCACAATTTCTATGTGATTCAAATTGCTCCTCCAATAAAACCTGACTCCTATTCGTAAGCCAGATTTGCAACACATGACCAAGTGATAACATTTTCAACACTCTTGCATTCAAGAAGTTCCTGATTTGAGAGTTTATGACGACTATTCCCTTAAAGCAAATCCACCTGCCCTGCCAGTCTCTCTCTCGTATGAGCTCCTAGGGAAGACCGAATCCCTCACTCGGGAAAAGGCTCATCTCCATACACAGCATATTCCTAAATCTTCATATACAGTAACACAAACAGATTCAAGTGATAACCAGCAGCCCATTAAGGGGGCAAATACACACAGTCCGTATTTGTGTACCTGCCCTGACTTTCTGTGACCAGCTAGTGAAAATGTTCATATTGAGAAATAGAAATACATTTTGGGTCCTGAGAATACAATTTACTTCTATTCACAGGTGCAGGGTTTTTGAGTACATTTCTATTTAATTCTCTGAGAAATGTTTGAAGTGGTCCAGAGCAACAGTGGAGATGGAGTTTAAAGTGATTTTTATTTCCTATTAAAAATACAGCCAGCCAACATTTATCATTTGTACTTTATTTGATCTCACTTCTTAACCTTCTCTCCACCTCTTTCACAAAACAATGGCAAATGTCTCCTCCCAAAACAGAAGGCTAAGTAAAAAGTACCAAATCACTCAGAGATGTGCTTGCTTTATTTTGCAAAAGAAACACTTTGTTCGTCTGCTTTAAAAATTAAGACCAAGAAATTCTATTCAACAAGTGGCAACCCAGGCTGCAGCTGTTCTTTAGGGTTTGGTCCTACGTGCCACGTAGCTCCTGGGACGCCTGCCATGTGCCACCCAGGGGCCACGGGGAGAGTCAGGGGCTCTGCTCTCGTAGGCACACAGGCTGGCGTGGGATGCATTAAATCATCACTCCAATTGATTATTTTTTAAGGAGGCTCCACACCCAGTGCAGAGCCCGACATGGGGCTCCATCTCATGACCCCGAGATCATGACCTGAGCCAAGATCAAGAGTGAGCCACCCAGGTGCCCCAACCCCAACCAATTTTTAAATGCACTTGCAAATTATAGGGGTGCCATAAGGAAGAACAACAGGATTAGATGAAAGAGTAAAAATAAGGGGTGCCTGGGTGGCTCAGCATCAGGTTCCGCACTAGGCATGGGACCTGCTTGGGATTCTCTCTCTCCCTCTCCCTCTGCCCCTTCCCCTGCTCACGCACACACTCTTGCTCACTCTCTATCTCCCTCTAAAATAAATAAATAAAATCTTTAAAAAAAAAAAAAGAAAGAAAGAGGAAAAATCAAGGGAGTCTGCATAGGCTAAGGGGCCACAGGGGACCTCCCTGCAGAAGTGACAGCCAGCCAAGACCCGAAGGACGGCTGGCAGCTCCACAGTGAGGAGCGAGGAAGAGCATCCCGGAAGAAGGCCTCCGACTCCAGACTCTCAGACGTTATGCATCCCAGGACACATCAGACAACTCCTGGGGTGACCTGCTACAAAGCCCGGCGGCCTGCTTTCCCTCCAGAGCCAGCCTGGAGTTACATTCACAGCATACCATAAAAAGGTACCTGGAGAGCAAGTGGGACCTTGCCTCCAGTCTCCCTGAAGCACAGTAAATGGGGATTCCATTCCCTGTGCAACTGGAAACTTTCCCAATACCCTTTATCCTCTCCCTACAGAGCAACCGTGCGATTGCTTTAAAAACTCTGCCCACTTCCCAAGCACTAACCTCTCTCCACGAAACCTCCCGGGAAGGTGGCCTAAGTGGGCTCGTACCCACCTCCACAGCTCCAGCAGCTTCTCCACCAATGACACTGAGCCTACTGACTGTGAATCCCACAGGTGCCCATGGCTGGTCCAGTTCTTTCTGCCCTTAACTCCAATCACGACTAGCAGGGGCAGGAAAGGGACCAGCCAAAAGGACGCCAGCCCCCAAGCAAAGCACCACTACTTTCTGTCGTAACTGTAGTGTAAACATCCAAGGGCAGGATGGTGCTTCGTCATCTTTGAACCCCACCATCTAACTGGGAGAGGAAGTGCTCGAACAATGCACAGGTAATGGGATTCCAGCAACATCTCAGTTCCAGCAATGAGACTTTTGGTACCTTTGCTGAAGTCCTCGGGGTCCAGCGACAGACTGTAGCCAGGAAGCGTCTCCAGGAGGAGCTTGTAACAGGCCCTCCACCCTGGCTCCGAGATGCTCGGGGCCACGCACTGCATAGCGGCCACGCGCTTGAAGAACGCAGACTTTCGATGGAAGCCAATCAGCTCGTAGAGCTCAGAGAGGATGCTATACCGCTGGATTTTCTCTTCTTCAGAAAGCTGAAGCACAGACAGGAGTAAAAAAACTTTTGAGAAAGGAAACACATAAAAAATAAAAAAATAAAAAAACTTTTTCATAAAACAGACATGATGAAACCCTGAGGAAGGCCAGGCCTACCCCGTGCACTGTGATGACACTCCCAAGAAAAGCATGGAAGCAGCGTGACGTGCAAGTCCCAAAGCCTTTATGAGGCCCACCTCTTCAAGTTCGCCCTGTCCCTTGGCTAGGAAGGCCTGTCTTCTCTGGAACAAACACATTTGCTACATACCACATGACGTCTACTTTTAGCTCCTTTATAAAAGAGAAAGAACAACAGTTCCCCTAGACGCTAGGATTTGGGCAGGGACTTTCATCGAATACAAAACTGCTCAAAACAGAGAATGTATGGAACCACGTAACCGGACAACAAATTGTCAATAATCACAACACCTAATTTAGACTTAAGCCTTCATGCTTATAAACAGCTTTCCTTCATCCGTGACCTGACTGAATTCTCTCCACGACCCCATGATGTAGTAATAACAACTTGTGTTTCTTCCATGCTAGCAACGTTACCACACCTTACTTCACCATTACAATAATCCCATGAATCACCCCGGCTCATAGACAAGGAAATCTGAAGCACAGAGATGAATGAACATCTATGCAAAATCATACACCCCAGAGTGTCAGAGAGCAGTCCTGAGCTTGGGGGGGGGGGGGGCTTCAATTACTGAATGACCCCCCCTACACACTGTGCCACAGCTCCCTGGCAAGAAGGACCACCCCAGCCCCCGCTGCTGCTCAAGGTCACACTGCTTACGGAGGTGGTTCTCCCCCTCTGGGAGCCCGGGCAATAAATGTTTCCCAGATACCTCTGTGAGCACAGACCACAACCAACCTGCGCTCCTCAATGCCCCTTCTCCACACCCATCGCCCTGGGGAGACAGATCCAGAAAACTCTTGCTAAGGCTAATGTCCAGGAGATGATTGCCTATGTTTTCATCTAGGATTTTCATGGCTTCCCGTCTCACATTTAATCCATTTTTAATTTGTGTGTATGGTATATAAGAATGTGGTTCAGTTTCATTCTTTTGCATGTAGCTAGCTATCCACTTTCCGTATACCATTTATGGAAGAGATAGTCTTTTCCCCATTGTATGTTTTGGCCTCCTTGGTCATAGATTAATTGACCATACAATTGTGGGTTTATTTCTGGGCTCTCTATCCTGTTCCATTGATCTATTATGTCTATTTTCGTGCCAGTACTATACTGTTCTGATTACTATAGCTTTGTAGGATAGTTGGAATCCAGGAGTCATAATACCTCCAGCCTTGTTCTTTTTTCTCAAGATTGCTTTGGCTATTCAGGGTCTTTCGTGGTTCCATACAAACTTTAGGATTTTTTTGCTCTAGTTCTGATATTTTGATAGGAACTGTTTGAATCTGTACATCGCTCTGGGTAGTATGGACATTTTAACAATATTAATTCTTCCAACCTGAGCATGGAATCTCTCTCCATTTATTTGTTTTGTCTTCAATTTCAATCATCAGTGTCTTACAGTTTTCAGAGTACAGATCTTTCACCTCTCAGTTAAGTTTATTCCTAGGTATTTTATTCTTCTGATGCAATTGTAAACGGGGTTGTTTGTTTCATCTTTGTTTCTGTTATTTCATTATTAGTGTATAGATACACAAGAGATTTCTATATATTGACTTCATATCCCACAACTTCACTGAATTCAGTTATTAGTTCTAATAGTTTTTTGGTGGCATCTTTAGGGTTTTCTCTATATAGTACCATGTCATCTGCAAGTAGTGACAGCTTTACTTCTTCCTTACAAATGTGGATGCCTTTTATTTCTTTTTCTTGTCTGACTGCTGTGGCTATGACTTCTAATACTATGTGGAATGAAAGTGGTAACAGTGGACATCTTTGTCTTGTTCCTGATCTTAGAGGAAAAGCTTTCAGCTTTTCAACCACATGATATTCACTGTGGAGGTGTCACACATGGCCTTAATTATGCTGAGGTACGGAACTCTCTAAAGTGGAAGCATCACTTTATACTCAAATCAGTAATGTATGAGCATTACTGTTGCTCCACATGCTCACCAACATTTGATGTTATCAGTCTTTTCCATTTTAGCCATTCTGGTGGCTTTAATTTGCATTTACCTGATAACTAATGACGCTAGACATATTTTCATATGATTACTGGCCACCTCTCTATCTTCCATCATAAAGCATTTGTTCAAATTTTCTGGTCATTTCTTAAATTAGATCATTTGTCTTATTACTGAGTCATAGGCGTTCTTAACATATTCTTAATGTCATATTTTCCCAGTCTGCTGTCCATTTATTTTCCAAAAGAAGTCTTTTGATAAGCAGAAATTGTGAAGGAGTTCAGTTTATCAATTTTACCAATTGTAAAGTAGTTCAATTTATTTTTCTTTTATGGTTAATGTTTTCTGTGCCCTTGCCTAAGGGACTTCTGTTTACCCCAAAGTCCCGAACATATTCTCCTATGTCTTTTTTTTTTTTTTT